CTTGTGTCACAACTTCCTTGGGAGATAGAAAGAGAATATGACATTGTCATGAACAAATACAGTATGGTTCCTATCCACATGGCTTAGTTCTGGGAATTAGGGATTTTTTTTAAAGAAAAAGATGAACAAGATAATATCAGATTTTCAAAAGCACTTCTAGGGTTCAGAAAGAAGTAGCCCCAGGTAAAATAAGAGTGTTTACAATGACTCCATGACAGATTAACTAGGTGGGAAGTATCAGACACATGTACAGGGACATGGAGAAACCATAGTTGATAAGGCTGAGTTTCTGGTAGGATCTCATGGAAGGCAGAAATACATGGGTACTGTATTTCTCAGTGTAGCCTGTCAGGCTTGGCTACCCTGGCCTACACTCTGCTTCCCTAAGTCTCATACCATTTCTTCTCCCTGCCGACTTTCCAGCCAGGAGCAGCTGACTGTCACGTACAGGAAATTCTGTTCCCCTGCCATGCTATTACAAGGGAGGTGCTCCATTAGCACGCAGAGTATTTAAAAAAGGCAGTACAGACTCTCTATTGCTAAGGCAGGAGGTCCTCAGCTCTTCTGGCACCTCTGGAGCCTGCAAAATGGTACACCAGCATCACCTTCTCCCTCATCACGTTCCAAGTTGGACAGGGACGGACACAATGTTAATAGCAGGGATAGATAGCAGGATGACAAAGTGCACATTCCCTGCACTATCGCAGGCCCCAGGAGGGGAAAAGCAGAGGAGACGCTGGATAAGGAAAAGGGGCTATCAAGGCTGTGTTTGCCCTGCCCAGTATACACTGGCTGTCCCAGGCATTATATTTTTCTGGCTGCACAGACATGTTGCTATGGAACCACTACATGCCATTGCCACTTGGCCATTAGCAAATAAAATTGCAGTACTGGCAAGAACATTTTGCTGGATTTCTCTTAAAGGGATATCATGGATGGTGAGTGCTTGTCTAAGCTTGGAAACAAGAGCAGCATTGATTCCAGGACCCAGCCACACTGCACACAGAGAAGCAGAGCCCAGTGGCTCCAGTTTTACAAGGTGTATGGACATGTGAGGACCAGCCTCTGAGCTTTCTTTTGGCTGTTTCTCTCTTTCTTTTGTTTTTCTTCCCCCTTTCATGCTGGGGATGGAACCTAGGTCCTCATGCATTCTATGCAGGAACTCTATCACTTGAGCTACATCCCAGCCTCTGAGCTTCAATATTTTGCACATGGCTGGTGTTTTACCACTTGAGACATGCCTCCAATCTAGTCTTTTTTGGCTGGTTAAAGTCTGATTTATTTATTATGTATTTATTTACTTTTACCATAAATAGCTTTGGACTATGATCTTCAGATTTCAGGCTCCTGAGTACTAGGATTACAGGCATGAGCAACTAGTGCCTGGGTTTGTATAATAATTTGATGTCTTCTGACGGTGAACATCATAGCCAGGCACAATAATCTATGTGAGTTCAGGTAGTCCTTCTCAATCCACCTTTCATCCCTTTACCATTTCTTGCTTCACCCCTCCCTACCATTACATTCTTTACCCAAAGAATAGCATAGTGTAGGTAGAGTCTGGCATTACTCATTTTTCCTAGGGCTCTTAGTTGTCTCCTACTTTTAGTCTACTGAGGATGGTATCCTAAGCCTCCAGTATTGCTATGCAAGTGCTCTATCACTTGAGCTAAGCCACCAAACCTGCTGTTTTCATTTAGGTTTTTAGATAGGATCTCATTGCTACTTTTTTGCCTGGACATGATCTTCCTGCTGCCACCTCCCAAGTAGCTGGGTTAATTTCTTGATTCTCTATGTAGACAGAACTTTGGATTCCCTGGAGAGCAGATCTCCATGTCCCACATAATATTATGTCATACTCTAGGAAAAAAAACAAACCCAAGTTCATACTTTGCTATGATTGAATCAGCAACATCCACCCCTTGATGTTAAAGGTGTGCTTCTCAAGACTTGGTGCTATTGAGAGATGGGGAATCTTTCTTTCATAGGTGACACCTAGTAGGAAATTCGGAGACTGATGGTATAAGCCTTTGGAGGGACTTCTGGGTTCCCAACACCTTTCTGTCATCCTTGGCTTAAGAGCCACCATGAAATAAATAGCTGGGCCTATCATAGGTTCCCCTATAAAATGTTCTGCCTGGCCACAAGCCCAAGCAAAAAGGGCTGCTGACCAGGGACTGAAACTTCTGTAACCATCAGTCAAAATGAATCTTTTCTCTTCGTAAGTTATTTATCTCAAGTATTTTCTCATCATGATGGAAAGCAGACAATACACATGTAATGAATGTATATGGGGGCAGGAGAGATCACTATTCAAGTGATAAACAGATGATCCTTTTGGCACAAAGTAGATGCCAGAATATCCATAGGTGTATAAAGGGACCCATCAAGTTCTCTAATGACTTCAGTTAATCCAGAAGTGAAGCTCCCATTTGTTAACAAGGTAAGATGATACATGATCAAATAACAGCCTCAGGCTCTTCCAACCACCTTTAGACCAATCCTTAGGTGAGCCAAAAAAATTTGCCAAGTGTCCCTTGCTCACCAACCTAATTGTGCAAGATTCTGAGCCAGATTGAGCATAGAACTCCATCAAACAACTACAGGATAATCTACCTTTCCAGATTCTGATGGAGAATCATGTTCTTATGCTTATCTCCATCTGATCAATCATATCACTGTACTCTTTATAAAACCCAAAACATTTTTCTTTGTCTTCTCTCTCTCTCCCTCTCTCCGCCCCCTCTCTCTCCCCCTCCCTCCCTCTCTTTCTCTCTCTTGCTCTCTCTGCCAGTTACTGGGGTTTGAACTCAGGGCCTCACATTTACTCAACTCGTTTACTCAGCTGGTGCTCTACCACTCGAACACCCAGGTTTTTGCTGGTTATTATGCAAATGAAGTTCTCTCCACTTTTTCTGGCCTAAAACTTCCTTTTCTTAGTGAAGCAATGTTTTATCTGAAAGTCTTGATAATTGCAGCCCACAGTTGTACTGCGTCACAAGAACCTGGTTAGCCATTACTCCCTGCAGGTGGTGGACATCCCTGGCTGGGCGTGCAGACCTGCAGCTGGTGAGCACACACCTGCAGGTGTACCATGGCTTCTAGCTGCAAACCAGCTGCACCACCCATCATCAGCACATCACCACGTGGGACTGAAATGTAGTGGTTTGGAAAGGGAACAGAGGAAGTTCTTTTCCCTCAGCTGGGAATATAGAGAGAGATATATCAGATACATTCAGATCCCTTAGGATCTAAATTCCCTTCCTTGCAGGGTCGATACATGCCTATCTGTCTGCTAACCCCTCATCCTAGTTTCTAAATATGATTGCAAGGAGTCAAACAGTCAAACAGCATCACTCCTAACATTTGTCTGAGGGGAATGAAGCATAACCATTAGATTCGTAGTACTCAAATCAAGTTAAATTAACTATGTGAATGGAAGCCCTTGGAGAGTAGCTATGGAGTCAAAACTTAGTTTTGTGCAGGATGAAAATCATGTAGCCCAGTGCCAAATATCCCTCTTATAGTCCTGTTCATGACTCCACAGAGAAGGGACTTGATGTCTTCTGGACCTCAGCTGCCTCATCTGCATAGGGCATTTGCCTGACAAGCCTGAAGATCCTGTTTACTTTTCATATACAATTATTCTCAATACAGCCATGTGAACAAACCAGATGGTTTTTCCTTTTGCACGGCCACATCTCTGTACACTAACCACTGGAGGAAAGAATCCTCTCTCATCTTCTCTGCAAGCCAGACAAGAATGAGGCATGAGCAACAATGGTGAGAACTCCTATGACGCAAAATGTGGGAACTGCACAAAGAAATGCTGGGAAAACTGGGCATGGTGGTGCAGGCCTGTAATTCCAGCATTTTGGGAGGCAGAGAAAGGAGGATTTTTGAGTTTGAGACCATTCTGGCCTACCTCATGAGACCTTGTCTCAATACACAAAAAGACAAAACCAAGTAACTAAAGAAACAACAGAAGAACCTATGAGGAAAGCCATCCTCTCAAGGGCTTCAAATGATAAGAGCTATCAAATAGGAAAACCTCATGAGAAAGGTTTCTGGAGCCTGCATATTACCATATAATACATATATATATATATATATATATCTGTACACACATTACACACACACACACACCCCACACACACATACACACAAACAAACATACCCCCCCCTGCCCCCCGGTCCTAGGGTTTGAACTCAGGCCTGGATGCTTCAGCCTCATTGTACTCAAGGTTAGAGCGCTACCACTTGAGCCATAGCACTACTTTTGGCTTTTTCTGAGTAGTTTATTGGTGATAAGAGTCTCATGAACTTTTCCACCAGCGCTGACTTTGGACCACAATCCTCAGATCTCAGACTCCTTAGTAGCTAGGATTACAGGTATGAGCCAATGGTGGGTACCTGACTCAGATTATTGTGTTTTCTTGGAGTCTCACAACACTGGGTAAAAAAAAAATTTAGAATGGGATGGTACTGGAGCTTGAACTCAGGACCACTGATGCTCTATCACTTGAGCCATAACCCAGCTCTGTTTTTGGCTTATTGTTTTCTGAGACAGGATCTCACTTTCATCAAGGTATGAGCCTGGACCAAGATCCACTGACTTTAGGCTTTCCATCCTTGCTTGCATGCCTCATCAAGGTATGAGCCTGGACCAAGATCCACTGACTTTAGGCTTTCCGTCCTTGCTTGCATGCCAGGCCCATGCCTCACACTGAGGAGCTTCCCTCTGGAGATGAGAGTCTCGAAGACTTTTCCACCCAAGGCTGACCTGGAACCATTGTGATTCTCCTCATCACAGTCTCTCACATAGCACAGAATGACAGGTGTGCATCACCATACCCAGCTATGGATTGAGAAGGGCTTTCACATGTATGCCCAGAGCTGGCCTTGAATTGTGATCCTCCTGATCTCAGGCTCCTGAGTAGCTAGGATTACAGGCATGAAACCCCACGACCAGTTGGATAACATTTTGATGTATCACTCACCCTCTGAACACAGCAGGTTTGTGTCTTGTCACTGAGAAAATTTTGGTCTAATTTCTTTGGAAAACTGAAAAAGAGAAAAGAAAGGAAAAAAAATTAAGAAGACAATATAAAGTCCATTTGTTGAGTCAGCACAGGTAAGCAGGCCTAGCAATTGTAGGGAATTTCAGCACCTACTTTGGCACTTACTAGATTCATGATACACATTTGATTAACAATGGATGGTTAACAATGTTGATTGTTGATGGTTAACAATGATGATTAACAATGTTTGGTTAACTACATGAATTTAAACACAAAGCTTTAAATAATCAATATGTAAAAAAATAATCAGAACCATGGATAATTTTGTGATGAGCTGGATGATTCTTCTGACAAGGAGCATATATTATGGTACATAGTTTTTAAAATATGGATCTTTTAAAATATCCTGTCCAAAGACACACGCTGTGGCTCATACCTGCAATCCTAGCTACTCAGAAGAATGAGAATATTAGATATTAGTTCAAAGCCAACCCAAGCACAAAGATTCAAGAAATTCCAATTACCCAGGAAAATGCTGGTCTGGAGGCATCACATTGCTAGCTAAGCAAACCCAGCAAGTGTGAGATCCTAAGTTCGAGCATTGGTATAGACAAAAATAAATAAATAAGCAAAATGTCCTGTACAGCATGCCCTCCATGGGGCTGATGAAAGATACCTCAATAAATATTCACAAGACTCCATTTATCATACTTGGTCTTTCTCAAACAATGGCATACCCTCAAGTCTATTACCCACAGCCATCTGTGATTAGGTTGATAGGGAAACATGGATTTGGCTGAGAGGTGCTAGAGGCCATCTATCAAGCCAACTGAGCAATCCCTTGAGGAAGCTATGGTGTTTGACGCCTGCCAAACCAGGATGGGAATTGATATGGTGTGAGAGTTGGACAGAGAAAGTCTGGAAGCAGATAAGGGAGAGACAGTAAAAGACTTTGATCTACACCACAGAAGCAATTCAGTTCAAGATGCAACTTTTAAAAATGTCTGCAGACTAGTCCTTACAGAACTGGGAGGGGACTGTGAAACAAAGTTCTTGGAATTGCTGAGGTCCCCTTGGCAAGGTTCACATGCTCTCAGAGCCTCTGGGACTCATTCTCAAAGCTGGCAGAGATCTGCTGCTTTCCTGCCCCTTGCCTAAGAGCAGGATGGCCTGGGCACTGGGGCCAGGAGGAGAGTTTCCTTGTTGACACGTCCACTAGCTGGCTGAATGCCGCATACTAGACTCTGTCTCAGAATCTGAAAGGTACCTCTTAAAGTCTCAGAGAAAACTCAACACAGGTTCAGGTGACACCCATTATCTTGTCAAACTGTCCTAGAATTGGGGAGGCCTCTTAACATGTTGTGACTACAAAAAAAATGACCTGGTCTAATTGAAAAGGTGGCTAGAAACAACACCAGCAGTGAAAGATGGTACATTTTTTTTAAAGCAACCTTATATAGTACACACTCAGACACATTGACACACAGACTTGTTTGTTATTCTAATGACAGATAAGATGTCTACAGGAAAAATGATAAAGACCAGGAAACATGGAGTTGAAAGTCAGATACCAGTCTGCCTCTTGGCTCTGTCACCTCCTAGCCATGCCCTTCCAGCCATGGGAACGCTCTGAGCTCTTTCCTCATTTGCATAATGGCAATAATAATACCTGCTGCCTATATCTTCTCAAGTTCTCACTGTACTGTTTGGCAGGTGGAAGAGACTTAATAAAAAGAAATGCCTCTATTACCATTTGACCCAATGTATTTGCATATCTGTAACAATAGAAGAAAGATGCGAGGAGAGATTTATATAATTTGATAATTCACCTGGATGTGAGGACCTGCACTCTCATCGCTTTACCCCCATTCCATCCCCATATTAGATGAGACAAATAGCAACAGAACAAAACCGGTTAATATAGAACAATTAGATAATATGGATGCAAAAATTCCCAGTCACAGGAGTCAGCTTATGTCTTGTTTTCCACATTTTCATATATATGGCTTCTGGCTCTCTCCTACACCCAACGATAGACAGTATATTAAACACATGCTTACAGAAATGAACTTATACATATGTAAACAATGCATTTATAACACACTAGCAAAGAAGTCATATTATTTTACTGCCTGATATTTTTTATGATTTATTAGAACATCTTTGAACATTAATAAATGTATCCGCATCATAATTTTTAAGCACTGTCAGAGTATTGCATTGGAAGAATAAACCAATAAATATTTATTTGTTGAATTTACAGAATCTTCCAAAGTATCCATATTTATGAGCAACGGCTACACATTGTGGTAGCATGTGTGTTCTTTCTCGTCTACATTTTCTTCAAGATGGAAAAAGGCAGATTGCATAAATATAATAAGCCTTAACAACAAAAAAATTGTTTGGGTATGAGTGGGTGTAGGCTTAGAAGAATACAAACGAACATATATACCAGGGAATAAAATCACATCTACTATGTTGGAAGGGGACAAAATTTTAAAGATTAGAAATCACAATAGCTAGGGATGCCTATTTCAAAGGAAGAAATTGTAAGTCTGAAGTTAAACAGGTATCCTTGTGTTCAGTCCTATCATGGCAGAATTAATGATATGCAGAGAGACACACTGAATATTACAGAGTCCCAAGAAGCCCTAGAAATTAAGTTGCATTATTTGAGGTTGGAATCCTAAGAATATCAAGACCACCAAGAAGGTATGAAAAGGGGGAATGTTTGTGCAATGTCTAGTCTTCTTCTCAGGGAGAATGATAGGTTTGGGTTGTATGAGTCATATGACATGTCTTCCTTCCATCGAAAAAAATTGCGATCACACTTCTAACAATGATTGGAAAGATGCCGCTTCAGAGTAAGCTGGGCAAGTCTGTCTAGATCCATAATCATCAAAACAGGCTGTGGAGATCATTTTTCCTCTAGCTCAACTTTTCAGAGTTGAAACTTTTCAGAGTTGCCAGCAGGCAAGAGGCGGAAGGCTAGCAGGGAACAGCAGGGAAAGACAGGACACATTGAGGTAGCAGAGAAATGCCAAACAAGAAACCTATTAAGAATTCTGGAGAGGGCTGGGAAGGTGGCTCAGTGGTAGAGCGCTTGCCTTGCATGCCTGAGGCCCTGGGTTCCATTCTTCAACACCACATTAGCAAAAAGAAAGAAGCAGGAAATGGCGCTGTGGCTCAAGTGTTAGAGCGCTAGCCTTGAGCTGAAGAGCTGAGGGACAGCACCGAGGCCCAGAGTTCAGGCCCCACGACCGGACCCCCCCCCCCGCAAAAAAAATCCTGGAGAGACACAGGTGGAGAAACCAAGTAGAGACCAGAGCTGGATTTGTGAAAACCTAAAGAAATGGCAAAGCCTTGGAATGCTCCCTTCAGCCACCTTCTCCTAAATATTCTATTCCTGCTCCAGCTGATGAGACTTTTAGAGGGCACAATTTCTGGTGGGGGACATCTCAGTGGAGATGTTCTACTGTTCTATTTTGATCATGTATAAAAGAATCAACACTTGAAGATAACCACAGACCTTAAATTTATTATGAACCGAGCTACATTTTACAAACATCTTTTTGGATACTACAATTTAGGTGCTGGTGAGATGTGTATAGTGCTAACCAGAAACTTGTGTTGTCTGATTCTCTGTTAGACACTGATTTCCCCACAAGCAAGCAGCAGATGTTCAGGATGAGTGGTATATCGTGTAGTTCCCCTTTCAGGCATTCAAAGTTAAATTACACGCATCCTTAAATTTGCCTTCAAAGGGCCCTTTGTCTCTTTTGAAGGTATACACAAGATGATTCATCACACATCCTCTCCAGCAGACAAGGTTCATATGCTAACATCTGCATCCAGCTATATGTCTCTGCTAGTATGACTTAGCAAGGGAAACTGGTTGATAATACATTTCCATTGTCACAGTAGGCTTTGAGGCTATAGTTGGCCTTTAAAGGCTCATGTACTAGAGACTTAGACACCAAGGTGGTGCTCTTGGAAGTGGTACAACTTGTAAAAGGTGGGGTCTAGAATTGGAGGTGTGGCTCCGTTGGGAGAGCACCTGACTAGTAAGCATCAGCCTCTGAGTTCAAGCCAAAAGAAAAGTACACAAATGGTAGGGTTTAGTGTGAAGTCCTTGAGGGCATGGTGGGACCTCACCCCCTCCTTCTTTGATCCCAGATCATGGAGTGAGCAGTTCCGCTTTGCCATCGGCTACTTGGCCCCAGACTCAGAAAGAAATGGGGCTGAGTGATCATAGGATAGGGTTGGAACCTCCCAAACTGTGAGTCAGAATGACCCTTTTCTCTTTATGAGTTCATTCTCTCAGGTATTCCAGTGATGGAAATCTAACATACCATTGTATTAGATCATCCTGAGAAAGCATCCTTTAATATTAGCTACTCCCTTTAACAGAGTGGGTGATTTCTGGTGACCATTTTTTTTAACCTGTCATTTCTAATTCTAATAAAAGCTCTGGAAAACAGGTTCTCTTAGCCCCACAGATACAGAGATGAGGAAAACAAGGCTTAATAAAAGGAATCAGCCCTGGTTATATAACCAGTAAGCGACAAAGCTAAAACTGTCAAGGTTTCCTGGCCAAAGAAAGGAGTTTTGTAGCAACACACATATGGATGTTTATATCCAAGTCTCTATACTTTAATATTCAATAACACACACACACACACACACACACACACACACACACACACACACAAATGTAAGGGCTTGCTTTCACTAAATAGTCCCTTCTTTTGCAGGTAATTTTTTTTTGGGGGGTAGATGCTAGAAAAAAAGTTAGCCACGGTAGCTAAGGAAGAGTTGTGTGTTAGCTGCCCAGTGGATGCCAGGCAAGCACTCTCAGGCAGAACAGTGGACCTAAAGTGCTGACAGTTGCAGCGACACAAAATGTATCCTTGGCAAGTCATTCTAACAATTACTTTGCCTCATTCTGATTATGAACCACAAGCATGCAATCAACAGCAGAGAGACGATCTGAAATGATCTCCATCAGCATTTTACTTTAGTTATCAAAGCGTGGCGGATTGA